TCTTTATCTATGTTTTTAATATTGAGCACTTTGTTTACAAAAATCTGTTCACGAACATGTTTTTTTTTTTTAGGTGTCAATGAGCTATTTCAGGTACATGGAACTAGTCAATCTAACAGAAGGAAAACTCTGAATTTAAAACTTTGCTGCCTTATAGCCATACCCAATCATGGGAAAGAATTGAAGAGTAAACCCTAATGACAAATCTAGAGCCAAAGTCAATAAGACAGCCCAAGGTTATGTTCAACTTTGTTCTTACAACTCCTGCGATTATGCCAATGCCAAGCTGTATTGGACTACCTTTCTCTTGAACAACATCAGTGGTGTGGAGAGAACACTGCAGCACCACCTCTCCACAGTGGCAAAAACAGGAAGCAAAAGTGGGAGGATTTTGAAGATCTTTCTGTATGGGGGAACTGACCACCAGCAAGAGGGCAACCTCATCTACACCTCAAGAACGTCTGCAAAACTGACATGGAGGCAATGGACATTGACATCAAGAGATGGGAAGACTTCACCTACAATTGCTTACATTGGAGACAAGATTTACACCGAGGACTGAATTGAGAAGAAATGGAGGCTTGCCACCAGGGTGGAGAGTGCTCAAAGGAAAGAAAACAGCAAGGTGACATCAGAGGAGAGCAACTGTTGAAATCAAGACTTGTTACTCCTGTGTGGGCCTGTACAGCCATAATAGATGTTGCCCCACAATCAGCAGCTGAGGCATAACACTTTGGGCTCAGATCCATGGTCTCTCAAGACCACATACAATAAATAAACTTGTGATATTTGTCAATGACTACGTAGAATTTTGAAAGTTTTAACAGCATGGTCAAGAGAAGCTCTTTAGTGACACAACTTACCCAGTACTGATTTAAAATTACTGCCAGCCCAACTACAAGTGGGTAGCCAGTTTGGGGTTTCTCCAGCTGGTGAAGGGCAATCACATCATCCCCCAACTTGCAACAGTGCAATCCCCTTCTATGTTGGCGGGCATGGGCAGTGGCACCACATGGTTTTCTTTTTAAATGAATGGACCAGTTACTTGAATAAAATTCTACACACCTGTCTCAGTTAGATATTCTATTGTGCCTTGATAACTCATCTCACTGATAATTACAAAAAGTGGACCATTTATAAATTAATGATTCTCATGTTATCTTTTCAAATTTGTCTTGAGAGGACAAATGTTTTTAATTTAAGTTCATGAGAACAGAAATAAACTGATAAACTGTCACTTACAATTGATTTGTACAGAGATATGGTCGTAAAATTAAAATAATTGAAATTTTGTTCAGATAATCAGTGTAATCAGATAACCAATGTTCTTTAATGCTTGCTTCTTTCCAGTGAAGTCTAAAAATCGCCTTTACGGATAGAAAATGAAAAATTTATTTATAGAAATGAAATCCTAAGAAAACTAGAAGACCTATCAGAAAAAAAAAAAATTCGGCTCGCATGACAAAAAAGAATGATTTTTAAAATCTGAAACTTTCAAGTGTAAAGTTGAAAATGTCAATAAATCAAGGCAAAGGGCTAGCAGAAATCGAGCTCACTGCAATTATTCAATAATTGAGGAGGTTGACATTCATTTAAAAATTATAGTTTTCTTTAGTAGAAGTTTACACTAGACAGTTTGGTTTGCATTTTGTAATGAAGATTATGCTTTTAACTTTTTCTAGTAATATTTGTAAATATAATTCTTAGGTTTTAAAAAACAAAAAATATAGCAGGTATCTTTATTTTTAGGTGATTTTTTTTTATTCTCATTCTTTTATTTTATACAGGGTACGGCAGAAATATCTCCCACATAAGAGTCTTACCATTATGTGGCAATGGTATCTTCATCTAGTTACTGTCTTGCTATTATGTGGAGGTACTGTAGGTTTGAATTACATAAAAAATATAGCGTGCATGTTTTAATAATGTTTATTTTGTAGCACCAATGAGCTAGAAAAAATATCCTCAATTAAAGAAACTCCAAAGTCCTGAAACATTTGATTTTAAATTCTGCATCTAAGTTACGGAAGGAGAAAACTGTACCTAAATTGAGATTAAATTTATTTGTGAACTGTATCTCTGAAAAATTAAGTTAATGCATCAAAGTTCAATTCCTACAACCGGAATTGAAAAAAATAAAAATGCTATCAACAAGAAAGCAAGCAACTAACGACGTCACAGGCACTCCCCGTAAAATTTAATTTTAAGTATTTCGATTTAATTAAATTTTAAATGATTCAAAAAATGTTATTGTCGTAAATCTCTTTAAGAAAGGATTATTGTCTGTTTATAACATGAAACACCCATAAGGCAATCGGATAAAAAATAATCTAAAAAGGGTCAAGTAAAAAATTAAAAAGTAAACCAGTCAATTAGATTGTGACCTACAAGTTTAAAAATAATAAATTTAAACTTTCGCAAAGTTAAGAAACTAAATCGATTCAAATAAAACACTTCAATTGGAAGTAGACTCGAAAGCGGGTCATTTTTTTAGCAAAGAAATTTATTTCAAAAAATGAATTTAAAAAGAAAAAAAAATCACATTTGTTACTGAACAAGTGACACTGACATTAAGAAATAAACAAAGAAAATTGTTGATGACACACAATCAAAACAATTAAGAATCCTGTGCCATGTGTATATTTTGTACTCTAAAAGTCAAACGACACAAATATTTATTCTTAGAGAGAGAGAGATTTAGTTTACAAAACATGTGTCATTCATCACTTTTTGCTTTCAAATACAAATTTATTTAAAAAAAAAAAACACAAAAAAAACGTAACAAAATAAGTTGCATAATCATTAAAAAAAGTTTCAATTATTTTTAATTAAACAAAATGTACTATATTTTTTCTTTTCTTTTTTTCATTTTCCGATATAAATCTTTTGAAGGTGTTCAATAAATATGAAAATATTGCCTTTTTAGCAGTTTTTATGGTGTCAAGTTCATTTGCAATAAGAGGTAAGATAAAAAAAAATGTGTCTATGAAAGAGTAAATCTGAGAGGATTTAAACAAATAATATATATATATATATATATATATATATATATATATATATAAGAAGAAATGAGTTTTAATCACTAGTCATCAGAAATTTGTGTGAATGAATGAAATTGAAATGATAATGATGGCTAGTGACGGACAGGTCGATCGACACAAATAAGGAGACGGGATAAAAGCCAGGTACAGATTTGGCTGGGGATACATGCTTTTTCCCTCCGAAACGAAAGAAAGAAAAAAGGAGTTTTGGGGTTTTTTTTTTTTTAGTTTAAGAAAGAAAAGGAAAAAAAAAAAAAGAGAGAAAGAAAGAAAAAATTAACGTTGCTTATTATTTATTGGCTCAGTGGTAGAACAGAAGTCTGTTAATTCAAACAGTCTGAGTAAGATTCTTTTCAAATTGATTCCCTGTTGGTGAGCCTCGACATCACGTATCATTTTAGATTTTTAAACAAAGAAAACATCTTTAAAAATTAAAACGAGAAACTGTGAGTGTTTTAAATTAATTCGAAATTAAGTACGGATGATGGAAAACTAAAAAAAAGAATATGTGGTGGTTGACAATATGTCCCCACAAAATAAATCTGAGATCGGAGTATAGTTTTTCTTCATGGGACAAATAAATAATAATGTTAATTTGTCATTTATTTGCCATTGTTGCCAGAATAAAATCATTATTAAATAAAATAAAAACAATTTTCTAATAAAAGTACTTAGAGGAATTTTTAGTTTTCGATATGATGACAATAGCCCTTAGGATCAGTCACAAAAAAAAACCCTAAATAGTTAGGATAATCAATGACTCAACTACTCAAAATTACTATACATTATTTTTACAATCTGTCATTTAAGTCGTTGGCCTTACCGTATTTGGGAAAATGAATGTCCATTTATTTTAAGCAATAATCAAAAAATTTTTCTAAATGTTTATTATTTTTAGTTTATTTATTACATTTTTTATGCGTAGAAAAATTTAAAAAATAAACTAAAAATTACAGTACAAGAGAGCATGATGAATAATTAAAAAAAAAACTATTAAAAAATCGATAGTTATTAATAAAAAGATAATCTCAACAAACATCTTTAAAAATTAAAAGTAATAAAAAAGAAATTAAAAAAAAATGTCAGGTCACGTGTCCAGATCAACGAAAGTGGTTCAGTTCATAAGCCTACTTCAAGCGCTACGACTGATTTTTTTTTTTCAAAACTTTTCTCGGTTAAATAATAAAAAAAGAGAAAATTCGTTTATCATAGGCTGATTTGAAATAAAGTGCTGTCAAGAGATTTTAAAAAGACGTTTCTATGATGATAAAAATAAAACATTAAGGAACGAACCCAGTTATCAACTCAATTCCTTCGATTATTTTACAAGTACAATAATGCTAGTTATACAAGAAAAACAGAACATGTTTCAGAAAGATAAATTTACTATGTTTTTTTTTTTTTGTTAATCACTTAAAGAAAGAGAGATAAAATAACAATGAAATGACGAAAACAACTTTACTGGAAAAATCGTATAAAAATATAGGAAAATTTTTTAAAAATCATAAAAATAAGAAATTTTTAAGGGTAATTCAGTTAGCAGAGAGCAATTCAAGCAACCAGCAATATCAGGCATGAGAATAAAAGAAAAGCCTGAACGGAGATGGTTTTTCTTTCAGATTTAAAAATTGATTATTTCCATGCTTTCTTACTAAAAAAAAACAAAAAACACACAGTGTGTATTTTGGATTAAAACAAGAGAGTGTCCAATTTTACTTTTCTTTATTTTAATTCAAGAAGTCAAATATTTTTGTTTTAACTCGTCAAAAAAGAAAAAAAAAAAGGAAAATACAAGTCCGGTTGAATTCAAACTGGAAAAAAAAGGGGTTAAAAAAAGGGGATTTAAGAAAAAATAAAAATCCTTATATGATGAATGATAAAAGAAAGAAGAAAAATTTCTTTCTTTTTTAAATCAATTTCAACTGATCATACTATAGTTTTAAATGAATTGTATCTTACCTGAAAAATCTTAAGAAGAAGTTTCACATACCTCCTTCTTACGCCTAAAGATTTGCCCAGAGATGCCAACACAATCACAGTGAATAAAATAAAGAACATAGGTAAAAAGAGCACAGAGAGAACTGCTAACAGTAAATGTTCCTGCTCCATGGGATAATTAGGGCTACAGATATTATTTTAACTAATCAATCGTAGTTTCTTCACTTAACAACAAGTCTTCCTCAGGTGTCGGCCCTTTAATGTTGCTCAGGCTTCTTATGCTGCTTTTTTTTTCTTGTTGTTAGCCATGAACTTGCTTCTAACCAAGGTGAAGGTTGACTAACATCTGCAACAACACAACTGTGAATTACTCTCAAACCAAAAACTACCAACTATAACTTTCACAGAATTATATTTTGCGTAGACTCAACTAGAAAAATATCGCCCAACATCGATTCAGATACAAAATATTTAATTATCTAAAATAATAATTAGTAAACTTCTTGTGCCTGCATTTGTTGTGTAATTGTAATTATGACGCGAAAGAATAGGGATTAGAGAGTAATACGTGTTCGTAATTTAAAATGAATTCCTTTATTCGGTTCTCTTGTCTGCAGTTTTCATGAAATTGATGTAAAAAATAACAGTCATAAAATAAAGTAATTGATACTAGAGTTTGAAATAGTAAACATTGTAATAAATGGAGATGAAGAGAAATGTACTTATGTATATAAGTAAATGTAAGAAGAAAAAAACTTTTAAAATTTTTGTAATTCATTTTCAATGTTAATATTTTTGTTCAAATGATAATGTAAAATTGTCTTGTCCAAAAGAAGTGAACAGGAAAGAAAACTAACTTGTCATTGATTTTGATGACTGCTCAATGGAAGAAAGTGAATATTCTTCTGTTTATATTTCCCCACATTATTGCCATTATTATATTGCCATGATATAAATAACACCTAAATTTCACAGACAAAACAGAATAGCTTAAAGGAAAAAATGACAAATATGCTTTGTACTCAGATAGAATTTTTATGAATGTCTACTTGTCTAGCTCCTTTCATACTAATGCAGGTGCCCCCAGGGCTCCAGCCTTGGTCCTACTTTTTTAAAAATTTTCATTAATGACCTTCCTGATGATATAAGCTCTCAACTTGGTATCTACACTTATGACACAACCATTTACTTGATAGTTTTGATAGTCTGATCAGTTCAATAAGGTCAAATTGTCAGCTGATGTCCAAAATAACTTTCAGTCTGTTGTTAATTCAGACAAAGGATGGCTTGTTAATTTTAACGCCTCCAAAACTAAACTGTTCTCCACTAATTATCTGAGAGACCCTTCTCTGTCTTCCATCAGCATGTCTGATGCTAACCTCCAGGAAAGTTATTTGTTGTACTTTCTCAGGCTAACGTTCTTGACTGACATGAAGTGGAAAGATTATATTTAATCCATTGCTAGGTCAGCTGCAAAGTTGATTCACTGTATCAGAATCTATCCTACATATCTATAAGTCTACCATTCATTCATGCTTAGAATATTGATGTCACATAAGTTCCATTGCTCCTGTTATATATTTAGTGATTCTTGATAAAATCCATAGAAGAATCAACAATATTATTGGTCCTGATCTGGCATCTCAGCTTCAGTCTCTTTCCCACCACTGTAAGATTACTTCTGTGTTCCTTTTTTAAACTTGTAGAATATAGGTGAACCAGGGGTTCATAAAAAAGAAAAAGGTAAGATCCTTTCTCAGTATTCACTGAGGGATAGAAGCGACACAAGGGAGTCAGCAAAAAACAGACACAAGACAAAGAATTTCAAAATAAAACATTTATTCATAACACAGGTAAAGAAAAGAAAAAAATGTCTAATCAAGAGGAAAGGGATCATAAAAGAACAGAAAGTATGAGTGAACACACACACACACACACACATATATATATATATATATATATATATATATATATATATAAAATCAAGCCAAGAAATCAACTTGATGGGTCAGTCTAGTTGATATCTCCATGCAGAGTTCTAATTCGCCAAAGTGAGAGTTCTTATGTGAAAACAATATTTTGTTAGCCATCAATTTTCCTGGAGTTCTTTTATTTCAGAATGGCTGGGGACTCACAGCATCACATACAGGCATTCATTGCTCAATTCAGTTTAGTAGTAGTCCTTTTATTCTGTAGTCGACAGACCTTTCTGCCTTCTTTATTCCAATTAGCAGTCCATTTAGAATTGGAACCATTTGCTCGTCAATGTTCGTCTGCCATTGATCAGATGGGAACCAATGTTTGTCACATGGCTTACCCTTCATCCTTGACTGAGTATACAGGAGGATGGGGTGCAAATCACGATGTGTTTGTGTGACGGCCAAAGATCCAAGCAACCCTCAATAGGGCCTGATCACATGAATATAGCAGGAGAGCCTGATGGTGCCCGGAGTTAACTTATGGTCAGTCGCTTGATGGTCTTGTGATTTTGGAACCAGGTCATTCTCAGGTTGGATTGCTTCAAAGTTCACAGGCCCTTGGCTTGAGGGTGGAACGAAGAAGGAAAGACAGAGAGAATTGGGAGAGAAGAGGAGGGGAAGGCTGATCATAGAACATATTTGCTCGCAAGTTGAAAACATTGTATTTTATTTTTTTATTTTTTTTATTTATATCTATTTTTCAAACTAGAATTTGAGATTTTTCTGGGGCATTTTAGCCTTATATGGCTGATGAAATTGTAGGTATGTCCCAATATTTCATGGTAATTGTTCAGATGATCTCTTTGCTATGGTACCTAGACTTTTTGAATTTAAGCTCAGTACTAGACTGGCATTGAGGTCTCATCAATTTATAGATGAGCTGATTAGTTGTAGTTGTAAGTTCTATGCTAAATAAATATATTATATTGGATATACTACAACATGCCTAACAAGAAGACTCACATTACTTATCTCGGACCATAGATCAATTAGATCTCATTTAAATACACATGGGGACCTTGCACTTCTCACTTGTGAAATTCCTTTCCAGCTCCACAAATTTCCAGCCAACTTTAATCATCAAAAATGTAAATGCAATGTCAGTCACTTTCTACTGTCCCCCTGATTACTCTTCTTTCATTCTTGCTTTAGTAATGTTTCTGTTTCTAATTCTTCTACACCCAGTAATCCCTTGTGTATTATTGGCTTTACTGCCTTGCCTGGAGAGAACTCAATTAAAAATAAATAAATAAATAAAATACATATTTACATTTGTCACATACAGAGAAATTATAACACATGTCTACACAAGAAGCAGTATGAAAATGGAATGAAAAGATAATGTCTTACTTTGTAATAGTTCACAATGAGAATTGGGTCTGCAAGAGATTCTTCTGTGTTTCTGAAAAAGCCATATTCAGGATTTCAGATTCGAGCAGGTCAGATTTGTCTGCTATGTCACTAGTGAAGATATATTCCCCTCAAACTAGGAAACAGTGTGATGTGGGTTTTTCTTAACACGAGGACTGTGAGCAGGAAATTCTATATCTGGTGAAGATATATTTCCATAGGAAAATGATGCCAAGGGCTTGTAAGCCTCAGCCCAGGTCCCTTGGCCTAGACTATAAAAGCGAAAGCTCGTTTTGAGTCCTGGAAGCTGACTGAAGGACTGACCACTTTTGTCACTCTATGAAGTGACGTCAATAAACAGCCATCACCTGATTCATGGGACTTCATCTCAACCAAAGGGAGATAATCACCTTTTGTATCCCTAATATTTATTACATATTTTTCAATATTTTATTCTTTTATATATCTTTATTTTTGGATTAGTATTACTAAACCAGAATATGTGACTTTTTGGCACTATCATACTGTACTCGTTCAAGACTCCAATTCTTTAACTCAAACTGAAGTGCTTGCTTCAACATCCATGGATCACATAACAAAAACAGACCTCAATTTTGCCTGGTACTGCATACCCACTTTCAGAATACTGTCTAAAATACCAAGGTCATAAATCCTATTTTCTAACCAATAAGAAAAAGTTTATGCAGTTTTTCACAGCAGGCATTCTGAGCCACTGGCTGATTATAAAGCCATTGATGTTTTCACCTAAAGAGGCAGATCTGACCAGGCTGGCATTACCGACAAACCCCCACAACAAACTTAACCAGGCCGCCATCAGCAACACAATGTCACTTCCATCAACAGTGATGGCTATCAAGGCTGGTGCATGGTTTTTGTGCCCCACCCCAATCTATGATATGACTCCACCTCTCTACTCCATCTCAATTTTCATAAGGTAGTATTCATATAAAATACAAAGTTTTATTGTAATCTAATTTTATTCAATAATGGATCATAAGCAATATAGGTGAACTATTCAATGAGAAAAATTGAAAATAAATGCAATGTATCTAAATACAAATTAGAGACCTGTCATAATAGCTCATTCCATCTTCAATAAATCAACAATATTTTGTGGCAATTTTTAACAACTTGAGATTTTTCTTATTAAAAAGTTGAATAATTTAACACATTCAACATTAAAGATTAAAAATAATAAATTTTATATTGAGTTTCTTCGAGACTAAGCATGAGTAAAACAAATCCACCAATGTAAATGAAAAAAACTCCAGAATGACATTAAAATCTGGATAAATTTTCATCCTTTAATAGGTCAGTCGTATTTAATTCAATTTGTAATGTATATAAATGTAGATAGAAAAAAAGCAAATGTTGATAAGATAGCAAGGCTCACAAAGCACTGCCCAGGATCCCCCAGTTGGAGTGTTCGGGAGTAATATGCACCAGCCCTGATGCCTTTGATTACTAATGAAACCAGTGGAAGAATCAGAGACTAACTCTCAACTATTACAATACAATAATTCATGAAATATTTCTCTGATGATTGTTGATTTTTCCACATGTCAAATCTCAACTACTTATGCTATAGCCTGAATGAACTCTCAGTCTTCAATGACTGATATACAGTGAAACGAACATGTAATTGAACCATATAAAAAAAATTATCTCAGTCTCACCCTATCTCCATTTGTTGTTTTGTTACATATCTTTTTTTTTGTTAAAAGTAATGCCATGATTACAATCAGACATAGTGAACTCAAAACTGCTTGA